TATTATAATTATTATTATTATTATTATTATTATTATTATTATTATTATTATTATAAAATATGATTATTTATGACATTGTGTGTTACCTTTAATTTTTATTTCCGAATTTTCATTTCAAAATTTAATATTTATTTCTTAATATTTGCTCCATTATGCGCAATGACTTAGGATAGATATTTAATGCATTGATATATAGAATGGACTGCTGATGGCAGTAGTGGGGATAGGAAGACGCGTAGAGTGAGAGGCAGATAAATGGATGACTCAAGGGATGAGCATTCTTTCTCTGTTTATGAAAACCGGATTGATTGTTGTTGTTCTGGCAACCAATCCGGTTTTAGCCGTCAGCAGTCCATTTTATATGTTGATGATTTAATGTGATATGAAAAGATGATACAAAAATTTGTTCATATGTGTGTAGAAATATATGTACGATGAATGTATATGTGTATAAATGTATCTACATACGTATATTAGATGTGAATGCTTTCATCGGAGTTCACTCGTCTATTCAACATTACCTTAGGGTAATATTACATTTGTTGTACAACAAACTTTTTAAGCATGTTGATTGGTTGCAGGATAAAAAGCTTCTAAAAACTGGAGAATTGCTCCAGCCAATCAACATGCTTAAAAAATTTATCGTACGATAAATGTAATATTACCCGAAGGCTTATTTCTGTATTGTAAACATATAATATACATACATTATAAAGAACAGGGGTTCTATTCTTGAAACATATCGCATATACGAAAATCCTATATAGTTTATGTTAACATATATTATAGGATTATTGTATGCGATATGTTTCAAGAATAGGGCCTCAGATCTCTTCAGTATTTTGTTGGTGCGTGATGTGAGCATCATGGCGGCGAGAGTGTTGGGCTCGGTTCTGCGTAAAAACGCAGGATTTTTCGGTGCTAGCAGATTGTTGGCGCCGAGTAATGCACCGGCAATTCTCGACGTGTGAGTCAGATTAGTTTAGGCTTAAACGTACTCTTCTGCGATCATACACGCATTATGTAATAACATAACCTATATCTGTTCAAGTTGAACTGACACGGTACATATGTTTTGCAGCCAGCATCGTAATGGTCACCAATGGTTTCCGGACTTGGAGTTCGCCGAGCAACAGAAACGGCCGGTGATGTTGCCAACTGAAAAGATCGATTGGGTACCACCGGACAGGGAGTCATTTCTAACGCCAGCTCCCAAGGTGGAGCAGACTATACAGAATATAAGGCTTAACTTTGGACCGCAGCATCCAGCCGCTCATGGCGTGCTCCGGCTGATCTTGGAGCTAGACGGCGAAATCGTGCTCAGTGCCGATCCGCATATCGGTCTCCTACATCGTGGCACAGAAAAACTAATCGAGTATAAGACCTATATGCAGGCGCTGCCTTATTTTGATCGTCTAGATTATGTGTCCATGATGTGCAACGAACAGTGCTTCTCTCTGGCAATTGAGAAGTTATTGAATATAGATGTGCCTCTGCGTGCAAAGTACATTCGAGGTAAAAAAAAGATTCATAATCTCTTTTGATTGAAATAACATGAAATGTACTGGAGCTAATATGTGCATATGCATTTATCTGTTTATAGATCTAAGAATTTAAGATTGATAAAATTAATTATTAGACACCAAGATGCAGCCATAATCGAAAAGTCTTGTTTTGTATATTTTTACTGATAAAATTCTCTCCTCGTTTGTAGTTCTCTTCGCGGAAATTACGAGAATTCTAAATCACATTATGGGCATTGGAACACATGCATTGGACATTGGTGCCTTGACACCTTTTTTCTGGCTGTTCGAAGAACGCGAGAAACTAATGGAGTTTTATGAACGCGTGAGTGGCGCTCGTATGCATGCAGCCTATATACGACCTGGTGGTGTCTCTTTGGACCTACCGTTAGGTCTAATGGACGACATATATGATTGGGCCTCCAAATATGCCGAACGCGTAGACGAGGTAGAGGATCTGTTGTCGGAAAATAGAATCTGGCGGCAGCGTACAACTAATATTGGCGTTATATCCGCGGAAAATGCGTTGAATTGGGGCTTCAGTGGTGTAATGTTACGAGGCTCTGGAATAAAATGGGATCTGAGAAAAGTCGCGCCTTATGACGCTTATCACCTAATTGACTTTGATGTTCCAATTGGCACAAATGGCGATTGCTACGACAGGTAAATTTAAATGAGAGATAAATTATATTGAAATTAGATATTAAAACTTGAAAAAAAAAATGGATTATTAGAAAGATAAAAGAAAGATAATGAATATTATGAATCAGTTTGAATCAAACATAGAATACTAAAAAATAAGAATACTAAAAAGAGTTTTTAGAAAAGATACATCTGATATCTACAAATTTTTTTGATCGCTCTGTTATTTACTATTAGTTTTTAAAAGAAAATTTTTGTTTTAAATTATTAATTTTTAAAGAATTTTCATTAAAAAACTATTTAATTTTTATTCTTCTTATTAATGATATCTAACTTTTCGTTTTATATGTAATATATAAAAAAATTATTTAACATATTGGCTACGACCGAAAATTAGACTGCTTTTCTGAGATATCTTTCCTTTATTCTGTTTTTAATTTCTGTAAATATTTTATATTAAAATAATAAAAAAGTTATTGAAACATGTTTAACAAGAAATTAAAATTATTTGCATCTGTAGAATGAAGCATGGACTAATTTTTACTTTGCAGAATAAAACTTCCTAATTAAGCTTTTTCTCATTTTTTGAAGTTGTCATCTTTTTAGATCTTATAATTTGTAAGAAAAAGTAAATGTTACAAAGAATAATGATTATTTTAATTAATAAAAGTAAATATAAACACAACAATTTTAAAACTATCATATTTACATAAGGAGTTAGCAATAGGAGTTAAAAACTTAAAAAAGATTTAGAGAACATTATAAGAACATTATAAGATGTCTTAAAGACAGCATAACAACTTAAAAACTTTCTTAAAAACTTTCTAAATGCATCTTTGAAATATCTATTAGACAAGTATATTGTTTGAAGGCTATTATCAGAACCAACAGCATAGTGAGTTTATTGCTGTTTATTGCTCTTGGCAATGTCTTAGAAAAACTGAATGATAACGAAATATTTAGCCTCTTTCTACGTTTGTGAAATAAGAAGACAGAATATATTTGTTAGGAAAGTGCTGGGCAAAATGTTGTGACCTGGTAGATTCATCAAGTAGATTCATCGCAATCATGTTAAATGATTAAAAAATGATTAAAAAAATCATCAATCTATACAACTTTTAAATATCATTTGTATTACATTTAGTACAACGTCTTTATTGAATGTCTTTTTTGCTTTTAGATATCTATGTCGTATCGAGGAGATGCGGCAGTCACTGCGTATCATCCATCAATGTTTGAATCAAATGCCCGAGGGAGAAGTGCGATGTGACGATGCTAAGATAGTGCCGCCGCGGCGAGAGGAGATGAAGAGCAGCATGGAGGCGCTTATCCATCATTTCAAATTGTTCACTCAAGGTTTCCAAGTACCGCCAGGAGCGACATATACCGCTATCGAAGCGCCGAAGGGCGAATTCGGCGTTTACCTCGTCAGTGACGGCAGTAGTAAGCCATACCGATGCAAAATCAAAGCTCCGGGCTTTGCTCATCTTGCGAGTCTGCAGCATATCGGACCCAAACACTTCCTCGCTGATGTGGTCGCCATTATCGGTACGCTGGATGTGGTATTCGGCGAGATCGATAGATAGATTTCCTAATGATCGAATAATTTATATAGCGTAGAGATATAAATTAAAAGTAACAGTAATCTAAAGTAAAGCATATATGTATTTATATGTATTACACATAGGGATATTCGAAATCAACGCTTTCGCATGTTACACGGCCGCGTGTAATGTCGCGCACGTTTATGACTATGCGATGAGCGTGTAAATGAACATTGTACATATCTCGTCGTGCGCGTAATAAAAGGAAATGTGGCAAAAATAATTGTTTCGTGTCGAATGACGCACTCGCAAATGTCCAATCCATGCTGATGTTACGCCTAAAAGAGGTGAGCTACCTAGTACCAACCCTCAAAGATCGTGACAATTCACGTGCGATAAGAACGCAACGCACTTTTATTCTATCCCGAGTTCCTCTAATTAATACTCTGTAACAACTTGCGGTGCGGCGCTATGTTGCAGTACGCGCACGATGCGCTCTCTGAGTTTCCATTACCGAGAGATGCGCAATTCTCTCGCACGCAAACCATAATGCAAAATGCAATTGACAAACAACGACGGGAGAGAATTACAAGACGCCTTCGCGTCTTGCGCGCAAGAACGAAGAATGACGTCGCGTCGTTTCGCAAATCACTTCTTTCAATACAAATATGAAATGGCATTAATTATCTCTGAGCGCGGTTACATCTGTACTGTAACTATTATGGCGGAGTCGATCGGAACGCAATAAAGAAATAAATGGCTGACCTAAATTCCAAATTCCAAATTGTGCTGACTTCGAAACGAATATTTACAAATAAGAGAATGTTTTTAGAACTTTATTTGAAAGAGCCTTTTTTTAATGTAATGTAATCTACTTCAAAGAAATTTATTTTTACAATTCTAAAATATATTTACTAAAATGATATTTCTTATCAAATCACACATATAATAAATTTGCATGTAATATCAATAATTTAAAATTATATATATATTTTCGCAGAT